GAACATGTTTATTGTTTTTATAATAAATTTCATAATTGAACATGTTTTCCTCTCCATGTGTTCTTTGCAGCAGGGAGTTGAAGAATTTGAGCCTCGCTTCCCCACAAGGTGAGAAAACTTCTTCCAGATGTTTAGTTTTGGTCTGACGGTCGGTTTTGTTCTGGGTGGGAAGCCAAAGACTGGATCCGTCCTGTTGGCTGGGGGATTATAATCTGAGCAAACAGGAAGCTCTTTCGTTCAGCTCTTCTGGTCAGAGTCCAGTTAGAATTAGCTGTCCTGGTAAACACAGCTGATCTGAGGGACTGGGATTAACACAGCTGATCTGAGAGACTGGGATTAACAGATCAGGCGAGCAACACACCACAACGTTTTATTTATGTTCCCATCATGCTTTGTGGCCATTTGTTGTGTTTACTGCCTGGAGGATTGCTCTAATCTGATTGGTTGTTAGCTGTGAAAAAGCAAAGCTGCTTCTTGAACGTGCAGATTTATTCTGAGTTATGAGCGCTGCGGGGGGGGGGGGGGGGGGGCGTTGACTTTAAAAATAAATCAAAATAAAACGAGGACGGTGAAAATCTGCGCTGAGTGAGACCTTCAGCCACGAAGCACCAAACTGCAGGATCTCCTGAAATTTAACTGAATTTTAACATAATTTCTACTGGTTTATTTTAACTAAAGTTGATACAAAAGATAAAAACAAAAATCATAAATAAATTTTAAGAAATAGAATAATTTTTAATCTTCATTGTTTAAATTATTTATATCATCGTTCTGCTCCTTTTTAGTCACATTTTCAGCAACGTTTGTGTTCGCTCAAGGATATCTGATAACTCCAGGGACACAAGTTAAAAGCTTGTGAGCCGGGCTCTGGGGGGGCTCTGGGGGGGCTCTGGGGGGGCTCAGCCTGTGCTCAGACTCAGGTGTTCTACCTGAGCAGGTGCAGTTATCATTAAGAGCCTTAAGGGTGGAAACAAAGTTATGATTCATCAGAAGTTATCAATTATTGACGTCAGTCCAAATGTAACTAAAGAGCGTCTATAAGGAGGAGGTCAGGGGGTCCACTGTCCTCAGACTGCCCCCCCCCCCCCCCCCCCCCCCCCCCCATGGAACAAGTTTGTTAGAAATGTTTCTTCATGTCTGTCACACGTTGTTTGTAAGTTCCTTTCAGTTTTCGTTGGTTCATTCACTTCATATTTTATCAAAACCACAGTCAACATTCTTTTTACTAATGACCCCCCCCCCCCACCCCCCACACACACCCAGTCCCTGCTTTAACACCCTCCATCCTCCATAGCACCGCTTACCTCACAGAACAGAGTCAGACCAGGTGCAGATTGTTGGGGGGGGGGGGGGGGGTTGTAATTCTGGGGGGGTTCTTGTGTCAGAGGTTGTCTTGGTTGTTTGCTGCTGTGTTTCCTGAGACCCCCCAGCTGGAAGTGTCTCCCTCTCTCTGTTTTCAGTTCAGCAGAGGTCAAATTGATTTCGACAGTGTGAGGACAGACAGACAGGCAGACAGACAGGCACAGACAGTGTGATAGGACACACCTCCTCCTGCTTTAGCCCCTCCCCTTCCTGTCTCCTGCTGCTGCTTACGGCACTGAACGCATCTTGAGCCGATGGTTCCAGAGAAGAGACGTGGTTCCGTGTCGTTCCCCTTCCCGTCACCTCCTCCTTCACTCCTGCGCCGCCGCTCCACCGAGCCGCCGGTGAACGGACTCCGAGCCACAGACGTTCAGTGAGACGGACGTTTTCTCCGAGGATAACGGACCTTTGCTCGTCCTTCCTGCATGTGCATTTCAGACGTCAGCGCTCTCCTTTGGAACGACCGTGTGCAGGAAATGATCGTGGCTGATCCCAGAGGATCTTCATAAAGTATAAATATCAGTTTTAATTGTGACTGGATCTTTCAGTATTTAATGAATTTTCATGCTGTCGAGTTTTTGTATTCCTCTGAGAAGAGAAACCGTGTTGTTGTGAAAAGCTCGTGAAAATGTTTTAACGCAGAACTCTGAATGTTTACTTGTACATAAACGTGTCGTCTGATCTGTTTGTAAACGATGCACCTTATCAAACTAATAATCTATATTTATGACTTTGTGTTAATAACTGATGGTTTCTGTGGACTCTGGACGTAGAGGGACACTGTGCTCAGACACACAGACCCAGGTGCTTTTATTTTGTAATCTGCTGGGTGAACTTCCTGCTGAGGCTGAATGGGGGTCGACTAAACAACCAGAGAAAAATTTAATAAAAATAAAAAAACGGACCCAGTTGATCCTGTGGTCCTGACACCACGGTTTTAAGAATCGAGTGATCACTTTCTTTGATTCATTTGACTGTTAGGGGACTGAAATATTAAAAAATGATTTAATGTAAAATAAAAATGGTTGTAATAGAAACGTTAATGGCTGAACGACTTGGTGTGAAAACATAAAACAGGATTTTAACATCTTACATTCTGCCAGTTGACATGTTATAAAAAATGTTATGAAATGTACACAATAAAACTTATCGACTTTATTTAAACATTGTGCCTAGACTGTGGAATATTGAGTTTAAAACTGAGCAGTGAGGAGCAGCGTGATGTTCTCCACCTGCTCTGAGCCTCATTCAGACTTCGTGTGCTGCTTTAACATCTGAAACCTCCAAAAGCTTCACGTTTAAAGACGACACGAGAGTTTGATTCTGTCTGGTCCAGCTGGTGCTCGTCTTACTAACCTCTGTCCCTCTGTCCACACGAGGTGTCCACTCATTGGTCCAACCGGACGTCCTTTATTCTTCTTGTTTGCTTCTGAACTCTCTGAAAACTTTGAGCATTTCTTTGTTTGCTGCTCTGCAAAGAAGTTGTTTTTTCATGTAACTTTAGAGCCACACATCCTGAAGCATGATCAATAATCCAGGTAGAGAAATCTAACAAAGTTAAGTCAGGTTCTCTGGATGGGTTCTTATTTTATCCAGAGGACTTCTTCAGTATGAGGAGCTGCAGCAAACTCAGTCTAATAAATAGCACCTTCTCATGGTGGATCAACCAGTTTGTTGTTGACGTCCAGAACCAGCTGTTCACATGATCAAGAAGGACCATCAGACTAATGACAGATCATTAGCACCTGATGGCTGTTTGTTATTCACAGGGGGCTGAGTGATTCTAGCAATAACAGCATTGTAAGAGGGGGACAGGTGGACACGGAGGCTCCGCCCCGTTTAATGACGGACGGTCTCTTTTCACAAAGATGGCCTCCTTTACTCCTCTCTCAAACCATCGTGGTGATGTTACATCATCATCAGGCCAGGACTCTGAGGTCTACACTCATCTCCAGGTCAGAGGTCACTCTTTCAGGGATGAAGATGTTCACATCCTGGACAGAGAGGAACGATGGTTTGAGAGAGGAGTAAAGGAGGCCATCTTTGTGAAAAGAAACCGTCCATCATTAAACAGGGGCGGAGCCTCCAGGTTCAACTGTCCCCCTCTTACAATGCTGTGATTGCTAGTATCACTCAGCCCTCTGTGAACAGTAAACAGCCATCACCATCTGGATGTCAGCAGCAAGCTGGTTGATCCACTATGATAAGGTTCTGTTTATAGTTTGTTGCAGCTCCTCAAATTGAAGAAGTCCTTTGGATAAAAGTTCGAACCATCCAGAGGACCTGACTGAACTTTGTTAGATTTAGCTCCACATGTTGGATGGTGTTGGATGCTCGGTCCAGCTTCTTGCAGAGCAGCAGTTTTGTCCCACTCGTCTGTCTCTGTCTTCTAACGAGCGTCTGTCCCCCGAGCTTTGCCGACCAGCCTGTGTTTTATTAGTTTGATGAATTTAGAGACAAACGACTGGGAGCTGCCGTGTGTCTTCTTCCTTCACTAAGCTAGTCCAAGGTACGGCTGCCCTCGTGTGGAAAACCAGATGGTTGTAGACACTTCCTGACCTGCATGCTTTGAGGGCAGCAAGCGTAAGGTTTGATGACCTCACATGCACGCTACATTTCTACGATCAAATACATTTTATGGAGACGATCACTGACGTGTTTGTTCCTGGAGAGCTTCCTGTCCCAGCGGGGGTAGAAAGACGTTTCCATTCTCACGCCTGCTGCGGTTTTCCTTTAGTTTATTCTGTCACTGGCTTTTGTTGATTTGTTTTTAAATTTCTAGTTTTGTTCGACATCAAAGTGCTGGTCCGTGTTTCAAAGCGTGATTTGCTGCTCGTGCTCTGGGTTGATCCCAGTGAGCAGCAGCTGCTGTCGCCTCACGTCTCCAGGTCTCACTCCCCGCGGCTCCTCTTGGACTTAGTGTGTGTGTGTGTGTGCACAGTAATATTTTCACTACACCTCCATCCACGCACTGACCTCCTCCTCCTGCTGCTGCTGCTAGCAAAGGTACCCTTTTCTACTCAGCTGTTTGTTTGTTTGTTTGTTTGTTTGTTGTGGGCTCGTCCTCGTTCCTGCATTTCCATCTTTTAAAGCCACGGCTGTTTCCTGTTGTTCTGACTCTGTTTTATTCTCTGATTCATATTTACCAGTCCTGATTAGTTTATTTTAAATGTACAAGCACGTGTTGCCTTTGTACAGCCCTGATGTGTGTGTGTGTGTGTGTGTGTGTTACTGAACCAGTCCTGGTCCTCCAGGGCCCTGATCCTGCACGCTCCAGTTGTTTCCCTGCTCCAGCTGTTTAATAAAACGTGTCAACCACTGCAGCCCTCGAGGACCAGGACTGGACACCCCAGGTCTAAACTGAATGGTCACAGTGAGTTTTAGAGGTGGAGACAAAACGATGACTGAGTTTGACCCGTGGCCTCTGCAGGGAAACGTTCTCGTCTTTAAGTTCAAGAAGCAGCTTCAGATGAGAACAGTTAAAAACAATAACTTCTAAATCAAAGTACAACTAGTATTCTGATGCATGCTCAATAATCCAGGTAGACAAATCTAAAAGAGTTAAATCTGATCCTCTGGATATTATAAAAAACAAAACAAAAAAAATGGAGAAACATTTCATCTTTCATCCTGAGGACTTCCTCAGTCTGAGGTGCTGTATTCAGCTCAGTCTCTTAAATAGCACCTTCTCAGAGTGGATCAACCAGTTTGCTGCTGACAACCAGAACCAGCTGATCACATGCTCAAGAAGGACCATCAGACTAACAATGGGTCATTAGATATCATTAGATACTCAGACTGAAGAAGTCTTTCGGATGAAAGACGAAACGTTTCTACATTTTGTTGTTGTTTTGTTTTTTGAATGTCCAGAGGAGCAGATTTAACTATTTTAGATGCAACTAGTATTCACTCCCATGTTCTGTGTGTTTCAACTTACGCTTTATATTATTTACTGAAGTGAGAACAGAGAAGTTGAAATGAAAGGAGTGCACCCAGGTGGGCTGTGGTTAAGCCCCGCCCCTCCCTGCCAGGCTGTACCTGGAGGCTGCTGCTCACCTCAGTCATGATCTGTTGTTAAAAATGTGACGTTAATTATTAACCCGCTCTGGTTCTTTAAATGCGTTTAGTTTGTGTTTGAGCCGGATGAGTGAGGACTGTCTCTTTTTGCAGAACTGGGCCCGGTTACGCCCACTTCTGAGTGAACCAGATCCATCGTAAGTGAGGATGTTTGAGCTGTGGGAGCTGTGGTGTGGTTTGGCTTCGTGCACATCACTGCTTGTTTTTGTTGTGTCGTGTACCAGTTGTTTTCACGAGCTCAGCTTGGGACGTGGTGTTTTCAGCAGCATGCTCAGCATCATCTGCATTTTTGTCTTTTTGCATCAGACCTTTATTTTTAGCTGCTTTGGCTCTGCGGCTGCTGTGACCCGAGTGTGGCATGTTTAACATTTCCCACCGTAAGGAGAGCTCCTTCCCTCAGCGCTGTCTTTTCTTGTCCTCTCAGCAGAAACCCACCCGGAGAGCCCGGCGTGGGGGCTCCAGCCAAACCGCCCCTCTCTGAGGATGAAGACGAGCCGGAGCAGCGTGATGAAGCTCACTACGACTCCGTGGACAAAGCTTCAACTGCCTCAGAGAAGTTCTGAGCCCAGCCCAGTAAACTGGTCCGTCTGCGTACTGGAACCAGCTGCAGCGTCACAGCAGCAACAGAGTGGGAGAAGAACGAGCGAAACAAAAAGTCCAGCCGGAGCTGAAGGTTCCTGAATGAAACCAGATTTATTTTTGATGTTCAGGTCAGAGTGTTGGTGCAGCAGCTTCTCTGTTCAGGACGAACATCCAGGACGTTTCACTTTAAGAACATACAAAGAACACGTGTTGTTGGGGTGTTGTCACGTGGTTTTATCTGTTTCCTGCTGACTCGCACTGCAGTTACAACATCTCCCCTGAGCTGCCAACATGAGCTTCACCATCTTCATCATCAGCAGCAGGTGTTGCACCTGTCGGTGTTCTGTCCGTCAGAACAGTTCAAAACTTGGATCACCCGTGAAGAAAACGTGTCAAAGCTTAATAACAGCAGATGTGAAGGATTCGCTGACACGTTTTATTCACATCGAAACGTTGAAACAGCAGGAAACATCTGTAAAATGTTGAGCGATCTGCAGGAAACATCTGTAAAATGTTGAGCGATCTGCAGGAAACATCTGTAAAATGTTGAGCGATCTGCAGGAAACATCTGTAAAATGTTGAGCAATCTGCAGGAAACATCTGTAAAATGTTGAGCGATCTGCAGGAAACATCTGTAAAATGTTGAGCAACAAACATTTTTGACTCGTTTCTACTGGACAAAACTCAGTTTGTGTTAAGACGACGCTCTGGTTTAGTTTATTTTTAATAGTTAGGAGGTTAACTTCTCGTTTTCTGTGTTTTAATTTAATCTTTGCACATGTCGAGTTGCTTTTTAAACGTTTATGATTTTGTTCTTGATTTAAATTCTCTTTCTTAGTTCATAAAACTTTTATCAGTGTGTGTCTAATTCCAGTTAATAATCTGATGAGACACTGATTTATAAAACATAAATCTGGAGCAAACCACTAAACGACACTAATATCAGATTAATGAAAATAAAGAACTGGAGAAGTGTTTGATGTTTTTAACTAATTATCTATAAATTCTATTTCTACAGTAAAAGAACCTGGTGAACATTCAGCTGCAGACGTTTGAGATTTATTTTCTTTTACCAATAAACACTTGACTTCACTGAAATATAAAGATATTTAAATATAAAGATATTTAAATATAAAGATATTTACAGAAGTAAACCTGGTTCAGTTGCTGAACAATAACATCAAATACAGAATTTGCTGTAAAATAATTCATTTAAAGTAAAAATACAAAGTCATGCAAACATAAATTCATTAAATAAATATAAAAAACAGAATGTTTACCAGGTTAAAAGGCAAATTATGTAAATGTTTTATCTTAAATAATATTAAAACATTTCAACTTTATTTCCACAAACTGCAATTTAACAGAGTGTGAAAGTTTCATAATGTGTTTTTCTTTGTTGTTGTTTGTGCCACGCTCGTTTGCACATGTTGCTGCTGTTTAGCTTTTAGAAAATTATTCTGAGATTTTTTTATTTTCTGGATCTCGTGTTGGACTGACAAAAAAAAGTTTAAATTTAATCTGAAGGTTAATTCCTGACCAAAGTTAGAACTGAATAATTGTGATTTTATGATCAATACGTCTGATTTTCAAATAAATCGATAAAATGTTTCACTGATTGTTTTTACTGAAGGCTCCTGGAGCTGCAGTTCTAATCAGACGACCCGGTCCAGGTTCTGTTTGGATCTTATTCAGATTTTATGAGCTTGTTCACAGTTTGAGACTGAATCGAAACGAAGAATCTGTTCATTTAAAAACGATTCAAACCGTTCCAGCTCCTGACCCAGCAGCTTCCAGAACCACCAGAACTTCTGCTCAGTGGGTTTCTGGTTCTGGACCACTCTTCTTTCCATCATTGAGGGTTCTGCTCAGCTCTGAAGGTCCACCACAGCATCAGTCAGGTTCAGGTTCTGGACTCTGGACTGGTGCTGGGCCTCGGTTCTGGTCTTTCTGACCCGTTCTGTTGTAGATCAGCTGCTGTGTTAGGGATCATGGTCCTGTTGGATCCAGTTTGTTGGACAGATGGACTCATGTTTGGTCTACAGTTCTGGTCCACTCAGACTGACGGGATCAGCCTCCACCACTGTGCCAACAGCTGGGAGGAGCTGTTTACTGCAGTGCATTCTGGGTAAACATCTGCCCTCTGGTCTGGTTCTGGTCCAGAAGTCTGGTGGTTCCTTCAGAACAAACCCAAGTCATGCTGCCATGTTTAGAAAAGAGGCTTCCAAACAGTCCATGACCTTTGACCTGCTGACTGCGGCCTATAGTCTGAGGAGCTCATTGCATGGTCTGACCTTCAGGGTGACTGAGGCGTGACGTCCACTCCTGAGCAGCTCAGCTGTCCTAAATGTTGTTTAATCCATCTCTGCCGAACGATGGATCGTTTGGAAATGACCTTTGACCTTTCACAGACTGACAGGCAGCAACAGCTGCTCCTCAGATGTCATTGCTGATGTCTTTCCATCTTGGCACTGTGTTAACAGGAAACGGTACGCCCCAACTCGGCAAAAGCCCCTGATGATCAGTTAATCAATATGTTTGATCAGCAGCTCCTGGGTCTTCTTCATCTGGAGCTTCTTCTGCACGTTGGTTTAATCTTTAATGATTAATCTGCACGTTGGTTTAATCATTAATGATTAATCTGCACGTTGGTTTAATCTTTAATGATTAATCTGC